TGGCCCTCGGGCTCACCTCCTGCTGCCCTTGGGCACACAGGCAGGGAGGAGAGACAGGCACGGCTGGAGCCTGGCGAAGGATATGGTGCTGGTGGCTGCAATGGCGAGCAGGCAATGTTCCTCCAAGGGAGGGAGGGTACAAAACAGACGTGACAGCAGACTTTCCATCCAAGAACACCTCCTTGCCCTGCCCACAGCACACCCCTCACTCGCCCCAGTCCAACCTTGCGGTGTGTCCTTCCCCTCCAGGAGACATCATCCTTTTTCCAGTTCCCTGTAGAACGGCACCAGCCGGGTAAGCGCAGAGAGCAGGCTGCAACACGGCACTGCCCTGCAAACAGTGTGCCCAGTGTGCTGCAAGAAGCCTCCAACCCCACAAACACCCTGCTATGCCATGTGTTTGGAGAAAGAAACCTTTGGGGACAACAACTCTCTTCTGCCACATTCATACAAGGCTACTGGCTGAGAGAGGCACCATTGCCTTCCTCCCCAATGCCAGATGGCTTCAGTTCAGCACTCAAGGCATAATTAAACCATACGGCCAGGGTTGCAAAGGTCACAGCTGGACTTCCCTTCCTTTTTGTAGCCCTGCCCAATGAGCCCAGCACAGCTCTGATGCACACTGACCCCACCACAGGCTGTGGGCTGAGATCTGCAGTTCTTTACAAGGAAGGTTCAACCACCAGAAGTCACCTGCAGACCTCCACTGTGACTCCAAAGAAAAACCAAACCCAGCTCTGAGTCCTCATGCTTCTTCATTACTGGAAGGCAGCTGAAATTTCCTGCATCAGAAGAAAACCAGGTGCAAAGCACCCAGTCCTGGCAAGCTGTCCACTGAGCTCTCTTTGGGGAAACAAATGGGAGCACCCCATGAGCATGGAGCCAGTGCTGCAGAAATCCATGCTGGCCACCCTGCTCCCTCCATTCCCCTGGCAGGAATGATTCGCAAATGTTCTGGGAAGGGATGCAGCAGCGCACAAACCCTCTCTGCAACAAAAAGGGGAGGATTATCTTTATACTACGCCAAGAGTGCCAAATGCACTGTGGCTGCAAACACTCACAGTCATCAAGCACTGCTCAGCTGCTGGCAGCCTTCACTGGGAAAGGAGCAGCATCTGATGGGTCCTGCTGCCCTGAGGACCAGCGGGTGCAATGCCAGCGAGCGCCCAAAGAGCCCTGCCTTCCTCCTGAGGGGCTGGGGCTGCCAAAGGAGGCTGAGGCAGGGCAGGAAGGTAAGGGATGCAGAGCTTCGCAGCCACCCTGCACAGGAGGCTGAGGAAATGGTTGTGTGGTGTGGGTAACCCTGAACGCAGCCAGCCCAGGTTCTCCTGCTCCTCTGATGCCTGCTTACTCCACAGTGTGCCCCTCTGAGTGCCTCCTGCCTTGTACCCTCCTTGTGCTGGAGTCCCCAGCATCGCTTGCTGCTAGCCTTGGCTCTGCTCAGCGTCACCCAGCCCTAGTGAGGCTTGGGGGTGGGATGTGCTGTGGGGATGTGGCGCAGGTACCAGGCTCCTCTGCCACCTTGCTGGGGCCTCCTTGGGCTGGAGGAGCCTTTCCTAAACCACCAAGCAGGGAAAATGCACCCCTTGTTCAAAGGAAGCGAATAAAAGCCAGGAGACTTACAGAGAGCCCTTGTTCCAGCGAGTCTGTGTTCACAATAATGGGAGCAGGGTTGGCCTGTGAGGAGACAAAAGCGGTATGTCACCGAGCTGAGCGATGAAGCCAACCCTTCGTGGTGTACTGCCTCTCCCCTGGCCGTGCGACCACAGGCAGAAGACAGCAATTCAGGAAGGGCTCTGCTCTTGTCCCTCCTCCAGGTGCCCAACAGCCCTGGGACAAGAGCAGGGCCACAGCTGGGCATCAATCCCCTCCTCAGGCCTGGTGTGTCCCCAACACCCCATGGCCTCGGCTGCTGGGAAGGAGACAGGGAAGACTCCCAGCCTCAGGCTAGAATCCCACCAGTACCAAAATTTACTTGAAATCCACATTACTGAGGATTAGGAAATAGGACGGGTAGGGAAGGAAGTCCTTCTGAGGGAGGGATATATTGCAAGCAGACCAGCCCTGAGGCCTTCATGCACCTTCCAGCAGCTGATGCTGCCTCTCCTAAGCACAGGGCCACCATGCCCTGGGAGAGGTGGCAGTGTTTGGTCCCTCATCCTCGTTACCCCTGGGGTAAATGCTCTGCTCGGCAGCCTCGGCTCATCCCCACCACCACCACATGCATCCCCCCTCTCATGCAGGGCTCCCCATAAACCTCTCTCCGGGTCCCTCTCCTCCCGGGCTGCCCTCTGCCCATTAGCTCATTGCACATCGTAGGAGGGACACACGCACAGAGGGCAAGTGCAGGCAGGAGAAGGCAGGGCGAGGCCCTAAAGGGAGGGAGGCTCTCCCGGGAGGAGGGTACGGGGGAAACTGCAGCGCCGGTGGCCGGAGGGACGAGGGCAGACATGGCCCCCGAACGCCGCCC